TTCATGTTCCCAGCACTTAGAACAGCCTTTATCTCTCGTACACCAAATCGGAGTCACAGGCAGCCTCTAGATCATATAGATCTAGGAGTTGAATTGAAAAGTTTCTTCAGGGAGTGCTCTTCCCAGGAGGAGTTGCATCTCTTTAACTGCCATCTCAATAACAATCTGCTGCAAGAAACCATTGAGAAAGTGCTTCCAACACTTGTGGAGTTGGACCTCATTTACTGTTCGACTATCACAAATGCATTTTTTCTAGTATCTTAAAGTCACAGATGCAGAAAGCATTAGCCTTTTTCACTGCTTTGATTGATATGCAATACTGTACTATTTCACTTAATTTGAATGGCAAAAATGCCATGACATCTCATACGAAAATTTTAATTTGTATGATTTCCTTATTGAAAATTACCCTTTTGGGACACAAAATTTTGTAGACAATAAGTGCACCTTATTTAAACCCAAATATTTGTTGAAAAAATAGTTTCATAATATTATTATCCCGATTTGTCATATATAATTGCGAATTTTCCCTCATTTTTGCTATACTGGATATACTTTGGTGCTGTTCCTGATTTTTTATATATATCTGGTGGCATATCTGGTTTATTATTTTGCTGCAAATCATTGCTACAGAACTGTCAGCTGATATTGGCTTTGAGTTAAGTCCAATCCGATAACTTAATGTATGCCCCAATTTGTTACAAATTAAGTCTATTTGTCAGGGGAACCCCCGCTTCGGCCTCCTTCGGACCCTCCGAACGCGTCCCAGGCGCATCCGACCGGCGCCCCCTCGGACGCTCCGACCCACCCCGACCATCGTCCACGGCCTCCTTCGCCCGCACAATCACCAATCCGTCAAGACCCTCCCAACGATCACCTTGGGACAGAGCCTGCGACGCCGCTCAGGCCTTCTGCGCTCTACGTCGGCAGTTACGGACGACCAGTATATAGTTGGCGCCCTAGCAGGCGGACCCTCAGAGTTTCTTCTCTTTGGATCCTCCCCTGCTAGGTCGGTCCCTCCGTGTATTTCCGTAGCTTTTATTCACGCTTTGGATCCTCCCCTGCTAGGCTTTCATCGGAGTCTCCAGGGTTGCCCTTACACTATTTTCCTAAAGTTTTATTTGTTATCTTTCCAAATTATTAGAAGGTATTTTTTTGTCCACCATTTATCATAACTAAATCCTACGTTGGAGCCCATTTTGGGGAGAAATGCCGGTGTGACTAACCTGTTTGCTGTAATGTGCTGTGACCTAACTGTTTGGAAATCCCTGTGCCCTGATATAAATCTTGAACCCTTTTGTATATTATATTTGTTCTTATCTGTAATAACAACTTAATATGCTTGATATAGGAACAATGAAAAACACTTCACACCGGATTGGGCAAAACATATTACATTGCTGAAATGGTGATGAGTGCGGAGGGTGGACAGCAAATGGGCTCCCTCACACGGCAAATTGAAAAATTTCTTTCCCAGTAAAAAACATGAATTAATTTTACACATTTTCATATGCATTTCTCAGTGAAAGAAATACCCAATTTTAATTGCATGGAAACAGATCTGAAAACAATGACTTTTTGCTTGCATTTCAAACAGAAAGAAAGCTAACCTTTCCCTGGTCATGAAAGACCATTTAAAAGATGGGCTTTTGATGCTTCTCTCTGTTTATATAAAAAGCTCACCTTTGTGTAAAAACAAAAAGATCACTTGAAATTGCCTCTTTCTGTGTTCCTTTTTAAGCTGCACAAAGAACTGATTTCAATGATGCAGAAAGATGCACAGAAAGATGTTCTTTCTCTTTCTCTTTTGTTGTAATACAAATCATCTTTACGATATCTTTTCACGGTGCTTCTTGCTAGCCTTCACTGGCCAACTGGCAACCTCTGATTTGGTGTTGTTTGTGACAGTGTTAAGTGCCGTGTCGACCAAAGGGACGGAGACGGAGACGGAGTCGGAGTCGAAGTCGGAAACAGAATCGAAGTCGTAGAGCACTTGGGGCGGAACACCACAGAAGGATGTTTGGGTGACCGGGGCTTCCAGTTGACCAAGACAAGACAAGAGGAGAAGAGCGGAGTCGAGACGACGCTGGGAGATAGAGACCAGCAATGTTAATTTACAAACTGAAGTACTAGTATGTAGTAATACATCAAAGTATTTATAGTATGAGAAGTAACGGAAACGGAATAAGGGATAACAAGGTAAGTAACGAGATTAGAACAAAGTCAAGTAAAGTAGAAGAGGAGTTGCATACGAGGAACAAGGCATAGATGATTGCATAGATCATAAGTCGGGGTAATTGGAAACGCTCAGTAAATCTTCATTGCGTAAAAACCAATTACCGGAGACGGATATCGGAGACGGATGCCGGAGTCGGCATGGATATAACAGACAGCCAAGCACAATTAAATACTAAGTGGAGCAGTATTTTGCTGTTATCCTGAGACTACATGCATGCAATCTCATGATCCAAGTTGATATAGTGACATATAATGGTCCGCTATAATCTCACCTTCTTGGATTATACCACAAGTGTTAGGGCTAGTCAATCCTTGGAGGCCTTAGGTGTCATATAACACAGGATGGAGATCTCCTAGAGGGGCAGGGGCACCACTTCCCGGGAGGTAGACCATACCCCTACTAGGAGATATACTTAGATTCTTGAGACTCACAAAGGTCATACCATGGTGAGCTCATCATTTTTGGCATAGATAACACTGATAATGGTACTGTGAGAGATCCAGATTCGCTATGAGGTTGATTCAAGTGCTAGACAGGCTTATTTGAAAGTCTATACCATCCTACATTCAAGTCTTGAATCATACTTGAAATTATTTTCTGACCAGTTGTAATAGCAAAGGCACTCTCTTTTGCTCTATGGGTACCTACCCTCTCTTCAGGTACCTTCAGTGGCACATGCCAGAACCACAACTGATTATGGTACAGGGTCCTAGTGGACATCCAAATATCCTTATACACCCACCTCAATGTCCAGTACTCAGTCTAGACAACCTACTATTCATGTAAACTAGTCCTAGCAGTGAAACAATCATCTGAATCTAGAAAGAATGGGGAGAGATATTGCACAATCAATAGGTCTGATACACAATCATTACATAGTATATATATATATATACTGATGATGTTGTATCAAGGATATCAATCTTACTATTCAGATATACTTCAAAGTACTTCAATCAGCTATGGGGAGGACCCATATCTATGATGAACATCTATGAGATTAGAATGCCACTTGGATCATGTTTATCCATGAATTCCTTAGCAAGATATCAAAGGATCATTGTGTCTGATCAAAATTGAAACATGAAAACAGAAGAAAAGCAGTATAATATCCTGATGTCACCATATACAACTATGATCACATTGGGGCATCTTAAGCCTAGAATACACTTATATGATAGCTTCTTTATAGCATTACATATGAGTGTCACATACTAGTGTCACATGTTCTACATTCATAATTATCAACTGACAAAATTTCCTTTTTAGGAATTTGTCACACACCCACACACACATGTCACACTATGCGACATTGTGACCAAGACAATAGGATCTAACCTTCTTACACAGTATACTTTAAAGTTTTTGCTTATATGTGACTATTATCACCATTTATGTCAAACTTGCTAATTTAGGAAACTAACTTAGATAGCAGTGGATTATTGCAGCATTAGCAGCCTAGAAGGGACTTAGCACTGAGAAACTTGAGAACTTAGAGATATTGCAGAATTATTAGGGTATCTATTGCAGCATAGGGCATTTGGGGTCATCCCTTCATATTAGAATGTGCAGCCCAGCGGGCCGTTCATTCTAATATGAAAGGATAAGTGGAATTGGTAGAGGAAAATACTAGAGTACCTTGTATTGTCTAAACACCAGTCTAATGACATTGTCATTATCATATACAATATATTATCATATGTAATAACTAGTTTGGTCTAGGAACAATCAAAAGCACCTTATTTGTTCAATACCATCTTGCTAGAACACTCAATTATACCAGTTTTTTGTACAGGAAATATTAGAGCTTGTATAAGTTTTTTTCACAAAAGAAAAAAAGTTGAACAAGTATTGCTATCTAATGCAATTCAAATATATGTTGGTTTGAAAGAAAGCTAGATGCTGACTATCAGCTATTTTAGAAGCTGCACTTATAAACAATAATAAAGCTTTTATTGACAAATCTGATGTCCTTCCACTTACTATCTTCACCCTTGGTAAGTCTTCACTCTTGGTGAGTTATACAAGAGTTACCAAAGGTGAAGATACCTAAATCGCGACTTGTCTGTCTTCAGACAAAGAAGGGATGATGAACATGAGTTAGCCAAGGAAAGATTCTCTTTGTGACCCTGTGGCTGAGACCGGTCGACATTCAGGGGATACACACTGCCGACGACTGTGTCAGGCCTGAGGTTTGGGCCAAATCATCGCAAATGCTTCATGGTTGCCGTCAAGTTTTACGCACGAGCAACGCACGAGCCATTGCGCAAGTACTTACAAACTACAACCGATTCAATTCTGTTCGGGCCCTCAGATCTCAGACCTCAATGTAGACCGGGGATAAGGGCCGAGACCCGAAAATCACCCGAAATTGCTTCCCGCATATCAGTACACGTGGCGTCAGGGTCATGGTTGCCAAGGGCTCAGACTGAGAGTCTCCGATCTCGCAATTTCATGCAGTTGAACTTCATTCAAGTTTCATTCATGATTTAGTTCAACGTTGTTTACGAGCTCAACTTTCGGAGCGATATCTGGCAGCGCCGCTGGCACGAAACACAAACTGATAAATAACTTGATAGATACTGCAACCGTTTGAACAGTCAAGAAATTTCGCTGCTCCTCTGGAATCTGACCTGGCAGGGTGCACGTCCAGGGATAGATGCGCGCGTTTTATGCATGAGATACTCGCTTCGTATGACAGGTGTAGGCATCGTCGATTGCCGATCAGGGCGCTTGATTTTCTCCCATCTTCTTTCCCTCACGTTGCCCTCACACCAACGACCATCTCCAGCATTCGGTCGTCCTTTCGAACACCTTAGGGAGCTGCAAGAGCTCAGTCCGGGACGACATCATAGCCTGGAAGCTCATGAAACACCATCTTGTCACCGTTGTTGACCGGGCCCGCCAGGGGTTACCGCACGCATTCAAACGGGCGAGAAGTGGTGGTAGTGCTGGGTCTGGGCTGGAGAGAGAGACGGAGACATTCCATCTCCCCCCCGAGCTCTGGCTGCATATCTTCACCTACCTCATCACCTATTCGTCGTCAACAACTTCGACGTGCCAAACGGACTCCATTCGTGCGGCCACTCTCACCTGCCACGCCTTCCGCTCGCTTGCACAGCCGTTGCTGTTCGCAAAGATATCTACACATCCGCCTCCGCCACGAAACGGGTATGGTATCATTGGTCTAGGGCAGAATCCAAGTGGGCCACGGTATCGACGACGGACAGTACAAAGAATGGAGTTCTTTAGTTCAGTCGCCATCGCCCCTGCAGTTCGGGAGGTCACCATCGACCCGCCAGAGGATCACTCGGATGTGGAGGAGATAGACACAATATTCGAGAGCCTGGCCAAATTTCCCAATCTCACGACACTTGTTCTTCGTTCTATTCGGTTATCCCTCAGACGACTGTCGCTCTTGCACCAACTTCGTCTCACCACCGTTACCCTGGACTCTTGTCCGAGCGACATTACTGCATTCGCCAGCTCAGCATTACGCCCGCTGTCGCTTTCGACTGTCGTGTTAAAATACCCTACGAGCGATACCCCAGACGAATCCCTTCCTCCATTGTTTGCGGTCTTTCTTTCCCCCAAATATCTCCACCGCCTCTCTTCCAACACGACACAGGTCCTGCCACCGCTTGCGCAATCACCAAGAGCATTTCTCCGCCTTCAGCACCTGGAAGTCTCCGTGTTTGGCCTCACATCGCCCTCCTTCGTCACTGCGATGAGCCAGTGTCCAAACCTCGAACGACTTAACCTTCAGACGGACCATGTTTCCGCTCCAAACATCGATGTCCAGTTCCATGGCCACCCTCTTTCCAATATACCACGAACGGGGGTACCTGGCGCGCTTCCAGCAAACGTGATCCCGCTGCTGAAGCTCTACCGCGGACCGCGCAACTTCGCTGGCCTGTTCGCTCGCTCGGGCGGCTGTCTGAATGCGGTCGAGCTCAGTGGGCCGATAAAGGCGCACCGGCTGGCGCGGACACTCCGGTTGCTGCCCAAGACCCTGGAGAGCCTCAGCTTCCGCGTCGACGGCGACGTCCCGAAGACCCTGCTGAAAACTATCGGCACGCAATTCCCCGCCCTGCGCTCGCTGTCGATGACCGACCCGCTGCTCTCCGGAGCCGCACTGGATTCGCTCCTCGCGCCGTGCCGCGACAGCCCGCTGTCGTCGCTGCGCATTATTCGCCTGCGGGTCGAGGGCAAGGACCGGTACAACCTGTGGGTGCCACCGGTCGAGCAGGCGGGCGATGTCGTGGATGTGTTTGGCAAGGTGCGGCCAGCGCTGCAGGCGGTCTACCCGGGGCTCATTTGCGTAAAGCTCGTGTATGGGCTGGAGAACGCGTGCCTAGTTTGGAGGGGACGAGGAGGAAAACACAAGGAGCTGGTGCTGGTGACGCCAATAGATTGAGCCGATGCATACGCGTGTCTGTACTAATTAATCGTAGCAATAAAACGGAATGCAAATAACCAGTAAATTTGAGCAATCGGATGCCATTCGGAGGATCAGATATCACCTGGTTCAATCCCATAGTAGTCCTTAAAGTATGAGCACCAAATGGTTCCCAAAATTTAGTCCAGATTCCAAAAGCCCTTAAGATGTAATGAGCAAACCATTCTCTCAACCCTGTCGTTTTGGGCTGAAATTTGACAAGAAGCTAAGAGCCGAAAATTGTCCAATCTGGATGATATTTAGAGAGACTGTAGCTGTTGCCAGTTGATGCAAAGTACCAGTTAACAAATTTGAATACATACTTTCCTTAGCCTCAAAATAAGCTATAATGTCTGAGAAATTTACTGTCTAGGGCTAGAGTGATCAACTATATCAGTGTTCTGCTTGCTTGCATGTAAGATTATCCTGATTTCGTGGACATGGAAGGCTAGAATATATATGTATAAGGTAATCTGTTCAATTTGACCATGTTTCCCTACCCATGTGGCATTATTTTAGCATATTTCCTTCTAAAACGTGGTCTTAGATATCATTGGTGTTTTTGTTGGTGTAATTATAACAATCAGTGTTCTAATATATAGCCCTGCAAATGTGGGCACTCAGAGGGGATATGGTTGGAAATGTTACTTTAGGTGATAAGGAGTATTTTGCTGATATCCTGGGACTACATGCACAGAATGTCATGATCTAAGCTCATATGATGCCATATAATAGTCCCCCCCCCCACACTTCTACCCATTTCTAAGTACATAGCAAGTTTGAGGGTCATTCAATTCCCAATGACCTTAGGTGCTATATAACACTCATGGCAAAGCCAATGGCAGTTGAAGAAGGGGGGTCCAATGGGAGTTTGAAAGCAGATTTTTTTGCTTTGTCCCCAATAAAGATTCAAGAAACCTTTGTTTGCCTTTCCACTCCCACTGGGCCGCCCTTTGGCAAACTGCCATTAAGTTTGCACCCAGTGTAACCCAGGATAGAGATATGCTAAAAGGGTGGGGGCACCATTCCCTGGGAGGGGCATGATACCCCTACCAGTAGATGTACTCAAATCAATGAGATTCACAAAGGTCATCATATAGTGAACTCATCATTTTTGAAATAGATAACACTGATAATGGTTCTGTGAGAGATCCAGAATAGCTATGGGGTTGATTCAAGTGCTGGACAGGTTCATTTGAAGGTCCATACAATCCTACATTCATGTCTTAGATCATACTTGAAATTAATTCCTGACCAGTTGTAATTGTCAGGGGATGAGGGTCCAGGTGCCTAGTTGATACCAAAGCTGGGGGAACAGCCCCACGGCCAACTACTTAAGTACAGGGCTATCTGCGCACGGACCAGTCACGTGATCAGTCACAGCTGTCACATCACATGCTCCCCTTACACCAACCCCTCCTCAAGATCCGTCGCCTCGACGGATAGGCGGAGTGTAGGGTTCTGCGAACTCGTATTCAGGATCGCCAGGGAAATAGAGGTTGTCGCCTATGACGCGCGATGACTGCGCAGGTACGCCCCCTTGTCGGGCAGTCTGCCGGTTACGCGGCCGGGTGTGAGCTACGTCAATCTGCATAGGAGAGCCGATCGGGGTAGGTGACGCGCTGGTCAGCGCCGACGGAGTGGCCATAACCACCGAGGGTGCGAAGGGAGTAGGGTAAGGCTGGGGGGTAGGAAGAGATGGTGCCACGGCCTGCATAGGTTGGGTAGTGGCGGCAGCAGGTTGGCGGGGTAGGGAAGACGGGAAGAGGGGGGAAGACAGTCGCGAATGCCCAGCTCGCCCACCAGCGGCCAAGGCCCTCAGATGAGTGGCAGGTCGAACCGCAGTAGTGGCGCGGGGCACCTGAGACTGTGCGTGGATCACGGTGGACGAGCGGTGCGGAGGGGCACGGTCGACATCCATCTTCGTGGCACGTGGTACAGGCACAGGCGCGGCAGGAGGAGGGGGGGCAGGTCCCTCAGCAGATGGTGGCTGACGTTGCTTCTTCGCACGGACACGCTTGCGCATAAACCGTTTCCCAAGCGCAATAAGCGCTTCACCGATTTTCTGGTTGGTTACCCGGATAGAGACCCGGCGCTCGCCAGGCGCAGCGCGATCAGAGTACGCGCGCAACTGAGCACCGGAAGTGTCGTGAGCTTGGTGGAGACCCTTGCCGCCCCACGATATGCCCGACAGCCGAGTCAGGCACCACAAGCGTACAAGAGAAGCGCGTGACAGTATCAGGCGCAGTAGGAGGCAAGGTTTCGGCAAGTGGTATAGAAGTGTGGGCGGCAGCAATGACAGCAGGGGTAGGGGCCGGGACTGTTGGAAGAACCCAGCGACTGCCGTCCCAGACACCGTGGAACGTAGGACCAGGGGAAGGGGGAGCAGGGGGTGGAGCAGGCGTACCGTACCATACTCAAGGCGGTCGAGACGGTCGGTGAGGCGAGTAATTTCGCTCTGCAGGAGCAGGCAGTACGAGTACAGGTCAACAGGGACGCCGGGAGTCGTCATTGGAGGAGAGAAGGCAAGCATAGTAGGGTGAGGACGAATATAGGAGATAGAGAGGATCAACTGGGGCTAGAAGAGTGCCAGAGTCAATGTAGAGGCTTTGGTATGCTGTCAGGGGATGAGGGTCCAGGTGCCTAGTTGATACCAAAGCCGGGGGAACAGCCCCACGGCCAACTACTTAAGTACAGGGCTATCTGCGCACGGACCAGTCACGTGATCAGTCACAGCTGTCACATCACATGTTCCCCTTACAGTAATACCAAAGACACTCCCTTTTGCTCTATGGGTACCTACTATACTATTTATTCAGTTCGTCACCCCCAAAGACGTGTGACATGCGTGATGAATCTAACCTTTCATCGTGCCTTCCCTATTAGGGAATTTCGGCGCCAAAGGCGCCAGAAATCATCAGAAATTACCCTTTTTGGACATGTTTTAGGTCAAATTTCAGTGGGACAGTATGACTGACGGAAAAATTTTGTCAGGCCGAGGCCTTTGTGATGCGTGACTGACAAACCGAATAAAATAGTACAGTGCCCTCCCTTCAGCTATTGTTAAGTGCTTTGTCGACCAGAGGACCAGAGTCGGAGTCAGAAACGGAATTGAAGTCAGAGAGCACTTGGGGACAGAACACCACAAAAGGATGTTTGGGTGACCAGGGCTTCCAGTTGACCAAGACAAGACAAGGAAGAAGAGCGGAGTCGAGACCAGCAATGTTAATTTACAAACTGAAGTACGTGATGATATATCAAAGTATTTATAGTATAAGAAGTAACGGAAACGGAATAAGGGATAACAAAGTAAGTAACAAGATTAAATAAGATAGAAGAGCAGTTGCATACAAGGAACAAGGCATAGATGATTGCATAGATCATAAGTCAGAGTAATTGGAAACACTCAGTAAATCTTCATTGCGTAGAAACCAAATACCGGAATCGAGTATCAGAATCGAATGCCATGGATATAACAGCTATCTTCTGTAACACATGCCAGAACCACAACTGATTATAGTATGTGGTCCTACTAGACATCTAAATATCCTTATACATACATCTTAATGTCAAGTAATCAGTCTATAGACCCCACCATTCATGTAAACCAGTTCTGCATGCAACTCATCTTGGAATATTCACCCCAATTTAACCTCGAAGAATTATAGAGATCCATCAGAGTATGTGGATAAATGTATACACCTCATTTGCCAAGTTCTACATATTTGATCTATAATTAACTTGCAGATCATAGTTGTATTGCCAATATAATGTGCAGTACTATTTATCAGTATAATAGGGAATAATAAGATTTTCAATGCATATAATGTGGTGTGAGAAATTTAATCTCATTGGGGAACCCCTCTGTATGCTTCCTACCCTTATTCTATTGGGGACATCTCATTTCTTAGTAAGTTATTGGGACATTAGTGTGATAGGATATATGTTATATATACCAGTAGAAATGATACCTAAAATTACGGGGTCTACTACATCTGAGATGCAACTTGGATCATGCTTATCCGTGAATTCCTCAGCCAGATATCAAGGGATCATTGTGCCTGGTGAAATTTGAAATATGAAACCTAGAAAAAACCGATATAATATTATGATCTCACCACAGGGAACTATGATCACATCAGGACATCTCAAGCCTTAGATAACATAGCACTACAACAATCATCTAAATTCATGCACAATTGGTGAAGATATTACAGTATCAATGCATGTGATGAATCATCATAAGATGATATAGGTATCTTGATACCATTTTATTATCAAGGATATTAATCTTATTATTCAGGTACTTGGAGGTCAGCGTGGAGCAGTTAATACATGCTCAGGCATGCAGGGGGTCCAACCGATATGTGGTTCACGGATACTTCCCCTTCAGGTCATGGGGACATTCTGAAGCAAAAGATGATATATGTGATCATCAAGGTCACACTACATTAAATACAGGGAATTGTACAGGTAACCTGAGTTGTATGCATAAGGTGTGTTCCAGCCCTCTCACAGGTACCCTTGATAGTGCTTCAATCACTTATGTAAGCTGTCTACTTTATGAGATATTACTAGATCAGGTATAGATCAGCTAATTAGCGAGTGCGAGTGCTAGCACAATTATTCAGGACTATAAGTCATGAAAGTTGTTTATATAGTTAAAGTACCCAACTTTGATTTGTGACAATCTGTGACATTCACTGATCGTTGTACTGTCAAATAGCAAAAAATTCCTTTTTGGAGGTTTGTCACACCATGTGACAAATATAGCAGCATGACTAGTGTTGCTGCGAGCCCGAGCCAACTCGTCCCCGAGCCGAGCTAAACTCGGCTCGTTCCAAATCCGTCTGATCGAGTTGATGGGGGCTTGGGTGGCCCAATATGGGAATTCACTATAAGCCCTTACTTTTGACACAAAGTTTTCAGCTCAGTGGCTTTGGAGCATTGAAAAACCACTGGCCCACTCCTTGTATGAG